TCTCTCTCTGTCAAATAAACAAAATCTTTAAAAAAAAAAAAAAAAAAGGAAATGACAGGGGCGCCTGGGTGGGTTAAGCGTCTGCCTTCTGCTCAGGTCATGATCCCGGGGTCCTGGGATTGAGCCCTGCGTTGGGCTCTCTGCTCAGCAGGGAGCCTGCTTCTCCCTCTCCTTCCTGCTTGTACGTGTTCTCTCTCTTTCAAATAAATAAGTAGAATCTTTAAAAAAAAGAAATGACAGCCCCTAGCCCAGAGGGCTGGGTGCTGGACATTCACAATGCCCAGCCCACAGCAAGGGATGGATAGACGTTGGCCCTCATGATTAACAAACGCCCCAAAGTGTTATCAGTGCTAGACACAGAGTGTGCCGAGGGCATGCTGGGGGCCACCAGGGCTCTATGTTCTCCAATATTCCTGTTTGCGGGAAGGGTGCTCAGCAAAGGCTTCAGGGAGGAGGGAACACTCGATGCAGATCTTGAGAGAGGATGAAGTGTGCCCCAGCGGCCTGTGCCTGGCTCATGGGTGAGGCTTTCCGGAATCCACAGACGACACAGGGATCACACACGACTGCGTTTGGGAAACACACGTCACCATGTCTGCTGACACAGCCCTTCTGGGCAGCCCTGGGCTCTTAAACGTCTCCCTGCAGACACTCTCCCTGTACACACTCGCCCACCCAAGCATCTCCCACTCTGTGGTTTGAATGACCTTTAATAGAAACTCTCCTGTTTCTGACCATCTGTCCCTCTCTCCGGAGGCATCCAGGACAGGGTGACGCACTGCAGTGTGTGGGCGTCTCACTCCTTCCCCGCACACCGAGGACAAAGCTGTGGCATTGATACCTTTCCCGTCTCCCAGGAGATTTTCCGAGTCATTCTCTCCAGGGCTCAAGGTTCTGCTCCCACAACAGGAGCCATGGAGAAAGGGGCTTCAGCAGTCCCCAGGGGCAGGGAGAGCGCTGAATCTGATCCAGGTCTCTGTGTTTGCCCCGAGGCCCGAAGCAGAAGTCCTGGGGCTGCGGTTCTGCCTGGGAGGAGCTCCGGGGGTGCCCTGTCGCCCCTAGAGCCTCTCTGGGCAGCTGGCTAAGCACCTGTTCTGCTCAAGGACCCCCCCATCCCCACCCCCACGGAAGAAGCAGAGGAAGAGGCCTGGGTTTTTTCAGGAAGCCGGGTGGGAAAAGGACAAGTTGCTACAAAGCAATGAACAGGAACAGTGTCTCCCTGGGCAGGGTCCAGAGCACCATGAAAGCCCCAGCCGAGGAGGTGGGCTCTGCCTCTGGCTTGTGGCCGAGTCTCTCCGATGGGGGCTCCAAGAGCCTGGAGGCTGGGACCCCGAGGCCCCAGAGTGCTGCTGGGCAGTGGTTGTTGGCAAAGAGGAAGAGGTCCGAGGTGGCCTGGCCTGGCCGATTAGGGATCGACGAAGGACACGGCGATGTAGCGGGTGCCCCTGGTGGTGGGGAGCCCCTCATGGTAGTGCGTCAGTCGCCCAGGGTGCATGAGGGTCCAGCCCTTCCGCGGGGCTCGGATGGAACAGTTATAGCGCAGGAACCGACAGCCCCCGCCCTGGAAGACGGGAAGTATCAGTTCTCCAAGGGGAAGCAGGTCCCTTCCCCCACCACCGCCGGGATTCTTCTAAGCTCCCCCAGGGGCGGGGGAGGGTGCCCCGCGGCCCTCGGCACAGCCCACCTGGGACGCCCGGCCTGGGAGTCAGGCAGCCCTGGGCAAATGCCGGCTACGTGCTTTACCAACTTTGTCACCAACCCAGGCCTCAGTTTTCCCTTCTGGGAAATGGGCATTAACCTCACAGGGTCATGAGAATTCAGTGAGATGAGGAAGAGCTTACGGACGGCTTTCTCAACCTCAGCACTGTGGACATTTGTGGCCAGAAAATTCTTCTTTTTAATTGGGCCAAAAAGACACGTGACATAAACTTTACCATCGTAAACACTTTGAAGTGTGCGGTTCGATGGTACTAAGTACATGTGTACTGTTTTTCAGCCATCATTGCCAGGGGCCAGGGAATTCTCCTTTAGTGGGGGGCTATCCTGGGCGCCCAGCCTCTACTCGCTAGCTCTCAGCAGCACCACCACAGTTGTGACAACCAAAAATATCTTCAGATATTGCCGATGTCCCCAGGGGCTGGCATGGGGCGGGGGGGATTGTCCCCTAGGAGAACCCCTGGTACATGGTAAACTCTCCAAAAAAATGAGAGGTGTTTGTATGGGTGTCTTTCACTGTGGCCAGGCCAGGACTGAGTCCCCGAAACACTTAGAAATAGCTTAAGGGGCGCCTGGGTGGCTCAGTTGTTAAGTGTCTGCCTTGGGCTCAGGTTGTGATCCCAGGGTCCTGGGATCGAGCCCCGCATCAGGCTCCCTGCTCCTCAGAAAGCCTGCTTCTCCCTCTCCCACTCCCCCTGCTTGTGTTCCCTCTCTCGCTGTATCTCTCTCTGTCAAAATAAATAAATAAAATCTTCAAAAAAAAAAAAAAAGAAATAGTAGCATGAGTAAAGGAATGAATGAATGGCCCCCCCAGGTGATCACACCCAGAGGCCTTCCGTGGGGCCTTGAGGCCCCCAGAACTGTCCCCTCTCCACCCCCCATCCTCTTGGTTTCCCCAGCTCTCCCGTCCAGCCACAAGCCTGAGCCCCACACCTGGACTGACCCCGTCCCGCCATCCCGAAAGCAGCCCTTGCTTCCAAGAATGACGGAAGCCCTAAACTCATCATCACAAACAGCTCTCAGGCCTTGAGTGCTTACTGGGCATCCACGTAAGCACTCACCTGGATGAGCTCATGGAATTCTCATAGCGTTTCTATGAAGGGCGCCCTACATTTTCCCATCTAAGATACGAGGAAACCGAGAGCCTAAGAAACATGTCCGAGGCCACAGAGCTGGCGAGAGTCGGCAGGCAGGCCCCAGGTCCACGCAGTCTGACCTCTGACCTCCTGTGCCCCTGCTCCGCGAGCACGGAGGCCTTCCCTTTCTCTCTGGTTCTCCGGCACCGGGCCCCTTGGGCCCCGCCGCCTCCTCAACCACCCTGTAAGCTGCTCACCTCGTAATCCACGCCAACCCGGTTCAGGGCGATGTTGATGGTGAAGGTGGAGGCATCATGGTGCGGCATGAGCGAGGGCTGCTCGTCCGGCTTGTAGCGGACAACAAAGGCCAGGTCGAATTGGGCCTGTGTCAAGGGAGCGAGAAAGAGAACCAGGGCCGCTGAAGAGCGGGAGAGGCCGGGGTGCACAGAAGGGGCCCCTCATCCGGTCTCGGGGAATGTTGGCTCTCGGAGGGCAGGGTTTCACGCGGTGCTCCCCAGAGCCTGGCCTAGGGGAGGTTCTTGGTAAAAAAGGACAGAAGGAAGGGAAGGAAAGGGAGAGGAGAGAGGGAGAAGAGGAGGGGAGGGAAGCAGGGCAGAAGGAGTGAACCAAATCCTTACAACCCTTCATGGCAACTAGGCAGGCTGCCAATTGCTTGAGGGCAGGGCCCAGGCAGTGGAAGCAGGGGTCTGGAGAAAAGCTTGCGCACGAGGCAGTGAGGGAGGGAAGGAGGGCAAAAGCCAAAGGGGGCCGTCAACAGGTTCTCAGTGGAGAGCTGAGAGAGGGATGGGTGCACTGGCTCGTTTGGGGGGCCCGCAAAGGCATTACCGAGGAGGGATTTAAGGACATGGAGGAAGGAGTCAAAGGGGTGCGGTCAGAGGCCAGAGGCAAAGTGGGCTGCCCCTATCTTGGACTCCTTCCAGAGCCCCCCCACTCCCCCAACCATGGGAGGAGACTGCACACCCACCTGGAGACCAAACGTCCAGGCCTCACCTGCAAGCTGGGGCTGCCCTCTTCCCTTTCCCCCTCTCCCCTCCTGAGCCACTCCAGCCCTGCCCCCACCCCGGTGGCCTCCCAGGCGCACCCACCCTGGTATAGTAGCCGGGGTAGAGCTTCTCCGTCATGGGGGCGATGTACTCCATCAGGAACTTGTGCCACTCCCGCTCAAAGCTGATCTGGTTCATGTGGATGTCGATGGTGGGCACGTTTTCGTAGCCACCCTGGATGCGGCTGTCCTGGAAATGACCACGACCGAGGGGAGCGTGGTAAGCGGATTTCGAAGACGGCCGCCTGGGGTGTGGGCTGTCTGACCCCCACCCCCTGGCCAGTGAATGTGATGGGAAAAGGTCAGGGTAGGGGGCCAAGTGAGGGGCCTCTGCAGAGAGAAGTAAGGTGACTAGTTCGTTGACTTTGGGTTCATCACAAGGGAGGCTGTCCCAGGTGGGCACTTAAACGAGGATCTTGAAGAGAGAGACTCTCCTGCCAGCTGGAGGAAGCAGGGACGTCAGTTCTGCCCCAGAAGCTCAGAGTAGGGCCCCGAGCCTCAGAGGAGACCCCAGTCCTGGCTGACATCTCGACTGCAGCCTCGTGAGACCCCGAGCAGAGGATACGGCTAAACCACACGAGGACTCCCGACCCACAGAAACACGCAGAGGATACGTGGGTGTGGTTTGAAGTTGTGAAGCTTTGTGGGAATTTGTGACACTGCAGAGAAAACCAGTGCAGAGGGCCATGGGTTAGGTCGGGCCTAGAGTCCCAGCGCTGACCTGGGCCCTGGAGGACGAGGGCCAGCCAGACCCCAGAAAGCCTGGACTATCCCAGTTACTGGCTTCTGGAGATTATCTCAGCCACCAAAGCCCGTGGATTAGGTCCAGCTGCCAGGTCAAACGTTAGTCAGGCTCTGAGGCACACAGGCCCGTGGGCTCATGTGCCTTTAAAAGTGCTCCCCGAACTTGGGGCGCCTGGGTGGCTCAGTCGGTTGAGTGTCCGACTTGATTTCAGCTCAGGTCATGATCTCAGGGTTGTGGGATCGAACCGTGCGTCAGGCTCCACGCTGAGCATGGAGTGGAGCCTACTTAAGATTCTCTCTCTCCCTCTGCGCCCCCTTCCCCTCTTAAAAAAAAAAAAAAAATGTTCCCTGAACTTTCCAAGATGAATGCAGGTATAGGATTCCTCCTCCGGGGAACGCATAGCCTCTCAGCCCGACATGCCCCCTGCTTCTGCTGTCTGGTGAACATGGCACTGATGTTCCTAATTCTGCCTCATCCCACACTTGCTCGTTCCTCCCCCATGACACACCCAATCTCGTAAAGGAAGCTAAATCATTCTAATAACAAACCAGGAACTGGAAATCTAGCAGTTCAAGATTAAGGAGGCTCCCAGTCATCTCGTGGTCCCGGCAGCTTGGGGACCCACACTCCATCCCATTTCTCAATCTCCCCCACTCCTAAGTGCCAGAGCACCCATCTGAAGAGTCCCAGAGAGGCTGGCTGGCTTGCCAGGGAAAGAGCCCGGAGGGCAGGCGTGGGCGGAGGGGCGGCCTCCCCGCATCCCCAGTCCAGGCACTGTGCCCACCTTGTTATCTCCCAGAGACCACTGGCCATAGTGCTCCATCTCCTCCACCAGTTCGTCACAGGCCGCCTCCGTGAAGATGGGGAACCAGTAGACGTCTGGGCAAGGCTGGGGAGGGCGGGGACTCAGTCACAGGGGTCCAGAGGGGCCCCGCAGCACCTCCCCCGCCCCCACAGCCCTCTGCGGCAGCCGCCACGGGCAAGGCCCCTCATGCAGCCCAGGCCCTTCCCCAGGCCCTGGTCTGCGAGTGGCTAAAGGGGGAAGGAAGCAGAGCTCAGTGCTGGCCCTTCTCAGCCAAGGGCTCCCGGTGCAAGGCCAGGACAGGAATGTGCACAGTTTCTCGCTACTGGCCCCTGGTCCCCAGCTGAGACCACATTCGGGGATGTTCTTCCTCTTTCTCACCTGGGCCTGGGCCGAGGAGAAACCCAAGGTCCCAAGGCCCCTGCAGACTCCAGCTGGGAAGTGACAAAAGGAGGAGGGGCCATCCTGCCACCTACTCCCTCGCCCAAGCCTGCCGAGGCCCAGAAAGGTGCCTCCCCGCCTCCCCTGGGGCAGCTAGTTTCCTCCCTCTGTCCTTCATCCCCGACAGAAGGTGCAGGGTGTAAATCCAGCACCTTTGTTCCCAGAGGTGCCCAGTCCTTACCATCTCTACCAGCTTCCCTGCCAAGGCCTTGGTGTAGTTCTCGTGGATGTACTTCTCCTTCCAGTCCTGGGGGGTGGGTTGGGGGGGGCATGCAGGTGGGGTCCTCAGGCCTGGCCTGGGCCAGCTGGGCTCACCCCTTGCCCAACTCCACAGGAAGCTCCAAGAGGGGGTTCCTCCCCCAGTTCCTCCCCCGTGCAATATGGGTGAATGTGCGCCTGCAGGGGCTGGTGTCTGCCTGTGTACGTGCATGTGGGTGCAGGTGTGTGTGTGGACCCACGTCAGCCACAAGCTCACAACGTCTAGGAACATTTCAGCACTTTCTCCTCCTCTGACCTTCACGACACCCTCAGAAGTGAGTGAGGCTGGGATAGTATACCCATTTTAGAGCTAAGAGAACTGAAGCCCCAAAGACTGAGAGGCTCAACTGATGGTCCACCAACGGAGGCCTGACTCCTGGTCCCTCCTCCTCCACTAGATGGCGCTGCCTCTCAAGAGCCCTCCCCTGCCCAACTGGGTCCCTGGGGTGGAGGAATGCCGGTGGCCTACGGGGCCCCACCCCTTCTCAGGCTGAACCCACAGGTTCACTGGAGTCCCTTCTTCTCCCTCCCCTGCCCATCCAGCCAGGGCCTCACCTCGGGGTTGCTGAACACCTCCCAGAGGTCATTGTGGAGGTGGCTGGTCTGGTAGCTGTCCAGGGAGAGCAGGCGGCCAAAGGTGTGCCGGTTGGTCAGGAACATGAACACATCCTAGGGAGAACAGGCCGGATGGAAGAGACCCCTACCCCCACCCCCACCCCCACAGTCCCATGCACGGCCCAGGAGAGGCACGGCTGCAGCCTCCTCTGCCCATTAAGTTGGAGATCAGGGAACCAAGTGCGGGTCACCCCATCTCATCTCCCCAGCACCCAGCCCAGGCCTGACATGGGATACAATCAAGGAGGGCTTCCTGGAGGACCGAATGGCAATGAAAGAACAAACGTGTAAAAGCAAAGGATGGTGTCCGGTCCTGAAGTTTTGGACATGGGGAAAACGTCATCATGCTGTCACTTTTAAAAAAATAACCACAAAAACATATTGGGTGGGGTGCAGGGGCATGGTAAGGGTGTCTCTCGGGCACGTTACTTGGAGTATATTTAGGTGGAAAGTTTGGGGGTTTTGGCTCTATTGGGAATGTACATCAAATAGAGGGGTGCAGAAACTGGGTCCACTAACATGATCCCCACGGACCACAAGGGCCGGCCGTCATGCCTGGTGCCCCAAGTGCCCCCCACCAGGCCCTGGCATCTCAGAAGCTCCAGGGCGTAAGGTGGCAGATAGAGACTACCTTCTCCATCAATAGGGCCTCCTCTGACTGCCCAGCCCAGGCCAACCTGCTGCCGGATATTAGCACAGAAGGCCATGTCGGGGTCCAGCTTGCTGTGGTGGAAAAGGTCTGTCTGCTGCAGCTCGGCCCGCAGGGCACTGCCCTTGATCAGGTAGACGTTCGAGATGTAGGGCACGTTCCAGACGCCCCTAAGGGTGAGAGAAGAGGATGGAGGGGGCCGCAGGCTGGTCACAGGCTGCGGGCCGAGGCCCCGGGGGAGGGGAAGTCACAGGCTGGGAGGGCACAACAGTGCTGATTTGGGCACACGGGTGCAGGATAATTGTCAGGAAGTCCTTCCATGTGTTTGACTGCAGTGTTCCTCGCTTTGGGTCCAGCAGGAATTCGAGGGCTTCAAGGACAGGACTACTGGGGGGAAGACAGAGGGGGGGGTTCCCATCCCGCAGGTACTCACACACGCCGGCCCTGCACAATGTCCACATAGTCCTCGGAGCGGGCGTAGTAGCCATCTGCACTCAGCGCGCCCCAGAAGTTCGACCACAGCCTCCCATGGCGGGTCATCAAGGGGGCGATGACGTTCCTGAGGAAGGGAGCACCTCAGTGGGAGTCCCTCGGCCCACGGGGAGTCTGGGGCAGATCTAACTGGGTGTGGGGAAGGAGAGGATGAGGGCCTTTCAACCCGCAAGCACCCCCTGGGGCAGGGCCTGGAGCGGGGGGCTGGCCCAGCTAGGGTCCCCGCCCCCTCCCAACGGGGCAGCCAGGGGCAGAGGGTGGGAGGGCCAGCGCGGCTGGTAGCAGGGAGGAGGGAACATCCTGGACCAAGATGAGGTTGCCAGGCTGGGGCAGGCGCAGGGTAGGAGGGGAGGCCGAGGTAAAGGCGGGCGAGGAAGGCATGGCAGGGTGGGCCCGGAGTGGGAGCCGGGGCTCGGAAGGCCTGCTGGCCGACTGCTGCCGCCCACCCACAAGCCTCACTTGTTCTGCTCGATCAGTAGGCGCAGGGTTTTCGGCTCAGTCAGGGCCACGTCGGCGTCCACGCTGAAGTAGTAGGTACAGCTCCGGTCCTGCCGGCACAGTTCCCTGCAGGTTGGGGACCTGGGGTCAGCGGGGCTGGGGCTCTGGCGCCATCCTCTCCTCACCCAGGATCCCGGAGCGCCCTGCAGCTGTGCTCTCCGGGCCTGTCCCCATCCATGACCGCAGGGAACCAGCCAAGGGTGTTTAGAGGGGCCAGGCCAGCCCCGGTGCAGGTTGGGACCCAGACCGTGGGCTACTATACTAGGCTCTCAAGGTGAACACCCAGAGCTCACTCAGCAGCTGGTGTCAGATTGCCCTGCAAACCCCTGTACTGGGGAGAGCACGGCCCCCTGACAGGTTCCTACACTGCCCGGGGCTAGGGGGTAAACTGGCTCTGCCCTTCCGAAGCGCAGTTTGGTGACCTGGCCTGAAAGCCTTACAAATGTATGCTCTTTTTGTTTATGTGGCCCAGGGCTCAGCAAACTGTGGAGTCCACGGTCCAAATCCAGCCCCCTGCCTGGTATCGCACAGCTCATGAGCTAAAGACTGTCTGCAGTTTTAAATGGTTGGGGGGAAAATTTTTCTTAAAGTGACATAAAAACCATATGAAATTTAAATTTCAGGGTCCATAAATAAAATTCTGTTGGAGCACAGTCACGTCCATCATGCTACACCACAGGGCCGATGCACACGGATTTACTACCTAGTCCTTTACAGAAAAGTTCACCAGCCTTGGATCTGGACTAATTCTTCCACGGTCAACACAGATGACTTGTTTGTTTGCTTGAATAATAAGGGAAAAATCAGAGATGGTCTCTGTCAGCATTTATCTACTTCTGGCCCTCCAGTTCTTCCTCTTTCTCTGATTTCCTTCCTGCACCCAAATGACACTGCTCAGCCCCACCCAGGAGCCCCCAGGTGGGCAGGGCAGAGAGCATTTCCCCATTTGACAGATGGGGACACTGAGGCCCAGAAAGGGGCAGGAACTTGCTGGAGAACACACATAGCATCTGGCTCGATGCTCCTGACACCCTGGGACCAGCCCCCGCCCCTGCCACGCCCACCACCGTCAGAGAGACACCATGGTGCACTGGCCCCCAACTCACGCGCCCATGTTCCTGGCGTCAGCATTGGCCACCCGAACCTCGGGGCCCACCAGTTTCACGGACTGGTACTCGCCGCCGTGCTCTGCCAGGAACTGCTCCACCTGAGCCTTATGGTGTTGCTCCTAGGGGTGGAGGACGGGAGGGTGAGGATGGGGACACAGGCTTCCACCCCCCAGGACTGGAGCACCCTCTGCGACTGCAGGCCACTCCCCTTCGTTCCCCGCACACTGTTGGCCATTGGCTCTCCTACCTCCAGACCTTTGCCCATGCCAGGCCTCCTGCCTGGAGTGCCCTTCCCCAGCCATCCTTGAGCATCCTCCCTGGACCAGGCCAGGCCCACCGGCCTCTTAAGAGCCTCTGTCACTAGGACAGCACCCCCGACCCCACAGGTCCCATATCCAGAGTCATTTATTCTGGTCTGGAGTGTGGCCCAGGGATCTGCTTCGTTGCAAAACGCTCCAGGTGATCCTTGGGCCACACTTGGAAAAACAACAGTCCATACCCGGGCCCCTTGCCTGGGGAAGTGGAAAGAGCGGGAACCCTAGAACCAAACCCAGGATTTAGAGCGAAGCCCCGCTCTGCTACAGTCAGCTGCGTGACCCTGGACCAGCCACTTCCCCTGTCTCAGCTCTGGTGTCCTCCCTTGTAAAATGGGAAGGCGATTGTGCCTCCCTCGTGGGGTCATTGTCAGGAGCCGACAAGACAGACGGAGCACACAGAAGGACCCCAAAGAAGGCCTGTGACAGCTCTCTTCTTCCACACCCAGTCACAGACTCGGAATTCATGGTTGTGCTATTTCATGTCTCCAGGGAAGCTAGGAGCCTCCCAAGGGCCGGGCCCACACCCTTCTCCTGTTTCCATGTGGCACAGCTGAACGAATGTCTGTGGCCCAGGCAGAGCCAGGCGTGGGGCCCCGGGCATGGGGTGCAGACTGTCGGGGCTGAGACGTCTCAGAAAGGGGTGACACTAGATGGGGCAGTTAAGAGGACGTGAAGGAAGACAACACAGAAAGCCTGGACAACAGGTAGGACTGGAGAGTCTACCTGGCATCCCAGTTATGGAAACTGGGATAAGCAAAAGCAGAGCTGAGACTTTATCCAGCTAAGAAGGAGAGGAGAGGGAGGGAGCTGGGAATCCTGAGCCTGGGCCTGCTCCCCACAAAGCAGCAGGCCTCAGGGCTCTCCCCGATTCCCCAGAAGGTATGCAGGGCATGAAAACCCATTTGTCACCGAATCAAATCAGGAGGGCCTGAATGAGGCAGGGACAGCTAGGAGTGCCTATCATGTGCCTCCCCCATGGCAGGCGCCCCTGCATCCCACGTGCCCACTTGTTGAACCCTTGTAGCAAATCCCCGTGGTCGGCACTCTTCTCTCCCGATTTAGGAGAGGAGAAAACTGAAGCACAGAAAGGTTGAGGAATGTACCCAAGGTCACACCTGTACCCAGCCGGTCCGCCTTTACCCCAGCCACGCGGCGACCCCACCAAGGGCCTGCTACTCACGTGGTTGTGAATGAAAAGCCGCATCTGCTTCCGGGGGTAGCGGAGACGAAGAAGCCGCTGGAAGAACAGCGATAGGAACGGCGTGGGCTGTTCGATGAACACGCCGACCAGGACTGTGGGCAGAGCTTCATCCTGCATCGGGAGGGGGGCAGCGTGAGGGGCTGGCAATGTCCAGCCACTGGGCCACTGCTGAGCCCCTAGGGTGGCCTGAGGGACCCAGAGCCGGAGGCAGAGGTGTGCAGACTTAGCAGGAAAGGGGCCTGGGCCAGGCAGCTCCAAGCAGCCTGTGCAGGCAGGCAGAAAGCAGGGACTGGCGCGGAAGCAGAAGGAAGCAGGAGGAGGAGGTCCCAGCTGGGCAGAGTGAGCCTAGACTTGGAGCCAGGACCGGCTGATGGCCTGCTGTCAGAGAGCCTGGCTGGCATGTGTTTGAAGTGAGCTATAAATGAGGAGTAAGGTCCGTGAGAAGAGAGGGGGCTGTAGGAGAGGACTCAGGCTGAAGGAACCAGAACTTTGGCATGGCTGGGGGTGGGGTGTGAGCTGGAGCAATGTGTAATCTGAGAAGGCTTCCAGGAAGAGGTGCCTGGGTGAAGAGGAAGATGGAACCCCAGACAGGAAGGTGATCCCTTTACCTCCCACCAAAGACAATAGTCTCTTCCTCCCCATCCAAGGAGACCGAGCCCCTCACACCCCGCAGCCGTACCCCAATGCCCTGGAGGCTACGCAGGCCCTCGTCACACACAGCGCAGCCCGTCTCGAAGGTCCAGAAGCGCGGGATGTAGTTGCCCAGGTAGTTCAGCTGCAGCTGTAGGGAAACGTGCGGTCTGAGACGTGGGGTCTGAGATGTGGGGTCCGGGCCAGGCCCACCCATCTGTAACCACTGAGTCACATCTCCATCGGCCCCTGGGGTACCCACACCCCAGCCCTCTAACGAGGCAGGAATGTGACTTTATTTGGGGCAGGTTTTGGAGAGAATGTTCTGTCCCCCTGGAGATCACCAAAGCTGCTCTGAGGGCAGAGGGAGGGCTTGGCATTCTGCCGTACCTTCACCTCTGGATCTGCCAGGAACTTGTAAAATGTAGCTTGCTGCCCAGCTCCCCACCCCAGAGAGTCCCACTGAGCAGCTCTGGAGCGGGGTGAGGAAATCTGCTTTCACACTCGCCCTGTTCTCTCCTGGCCACATGACTCCGACACGGTACGGGGTGGGGTGCAGCGGGGGCAGTGGCCATCCAT